CCCTATTTCATTCTGCTCACATAATGTAACTAAGCAGTAGGTTACATTGAAGAACTCAGGGCAGTAAGGCAGTTTTAATAATCAAGTTCTTCAGTTCCTTTCATTTATGACATCTGCTTAATGTGACTGACCTAAAGTGTCCATGGTGTGTTATGACTAAGTGATTTGTTGTCTTTGCTTTGCTTCCAATTATCCCATGCACAAAGTTGCAGAGCTGCTAATTGGATAAATGTTAAATATTGTCTTCCTAGAAGATACATTTGAAAAGTGTTTGCAGCTTTAGGAACTAGAGATGGAGCTGGCACAAAATTTGCTTGGTTCAAAGTTCCAGTCTGTTTTTATTTTTTTTTGTAAGGTGTATACACTATTTGGGTCTTCTTTGTGAATATAGAAAGATAACTGAAAACAGAGAGTTGCCCATCCACAAAGACAAGCCTGATGCAGGCCTATCCAAACTAGGATCCCGACAGCCTGTAATAAGATCTGCACAAATCCTGCAATCACAGAATTTCGACTTAGGGAATGAGTGGTTGCAAACACGGATGCAGTCAGCTCCACCCAATATCCATAACCTGATAAACGCCAACAAGAAGCCCACAGGATTTGACTTGCCACGTAAAGCATGGAAGATGGCTAATGGAATACAAATTGGCCTTTGCAGTTGTGCATACCTGTTGTTTAAATGGGGCAAAATACCAGGACCAGAATGCACTTGTGGTGCAGCCTGCCAAACTATTTTCCATCTGTCACAGGAATGTGAGCATTGTGCTTTCCAGGGTGATGTGATAGAGCTTTTCGAACTCTCCCCAGCTGTGATTGTGTGGATTGAAAATTTAGTTATTAGTATTTAGGTGGATTGCCAATTGGTCTGCATACCCATTGTATTGAATTGGGTTTGTATTTTATATTATTATATGCTTCCTGTGTGTAACTCTGCCATACGATAAACATATAAATATATAGCCATGCAAGTAAAGGATGCTGTGCAACAAATTAAATGCCAGATTTTTATGTTTATAAAATACAGGCAGATTACCCATGACAAACAGGACCAACAAAGACCACACTTCTGTGACTACTTCGTGGGGATGATAGTGGTCACATGTGTGTATTTCTCCTTCAGTGTTGTAGTTGCTCAGAGCTGTCCAGTAGGCCTGTTCTGAGTTGTGAGAGGAATTTTTATATCTATCTGCCTGATGATGAAGAAACTACAGATTAGTCTTCAGCTTGCTCTGACCTGTTTGCTAGGCATTTCGTAGATAAAGTCACTCATATCCCTTAGGATTTGGACCCCACTCATGAAAGGAGAAGTAAAGGCTGAAGGACTCTGAATTGTGCCTTTGAGACTTTGGGTTATATGATGATTGGGGGTACTGTTACTAGACAGTTAAATTTAAGCTTTAAGGAAAAAGGGCTATAAATGTTTGACTCAGTTTATAAAGGGATCAACGATGAGAAGACTCGATGTATCTAAGCTAGTTGGAGGATCTCCTCTCTTGCAGTTTTAGTTAGTAGTGGGTTCTTTACTTTCTCCTGTATATGTAGTTTCCCTTCCCCTTTTTTCTGCTGTAGTTTTTTGTAGTGAAAAAAATCAATAAAAAATCCCCTCTGGGGGCTTAAAAAAAAAAAGGATTTGGACCCCTCTCATTTGGCATCTCACTAAAGGAACATTAACAGAGCACAGTGTAATCCGATTGCTTAGGAAATTTCTAGTTGTTAAGAGCCCTGACCTGGATGGCTCAGGCTAGCCCGATCTTGGAAGCTAAGCAGGGTCGGCCCTGGTTAGTGTTTGGATGGGAGACCACCAAGGAGATCCAGGGTCCCTATGACAGGCAGTGGCAAACCACCTCTGAACATATCTTGCTTTGAAAACCCTACGGGGTCGTCATAAGTTGTGTGTGACTTGCTGCCAGCTTCTGCCACCGCATGACCTGAGAATAAAAACAACTTGATTGGAGGGGTTCGGCCTACCACATGTATGCTTGATTTTTGCCCATCTTGGGTAATTTCGCATAACTGGAAAGGCTTGCATAGTTATGTCCGAGGAATGGCTAATGTTTCCTTAAGGAGAAAACTTAAGAGTTGCTGTCCTGTGCTTTTGAAAAGAGACTCCCTCTGGAAGAAGCCATTAATGAACCCAAATTATCTAAACTATTGGCAACTAGGAAATACCCCAATGTTGGGCTTGAGTGCTTTTTGTGCAACACCAGGTTTTCTTGGATTAGAGTGATTATTTAGTTACATTTCTATTCTTCTTCTGACCTAGTTTTGGAATTTTTCTGCTTGGAAAAAGACCAAGGGAATGTGACTCTGTTGATATTTCATGGGCATCTTGGTGGCCTTCAGTGCCATCAGACTTGGTGCCTATAGATCTTGGTGGCTGAGGTAGGAATTGGGACCAATGCAATTTACTGGTTTGTTCCTATAGGCATGACAAACATAAGAAGATTATGCCAGGGGGAGGGGATGACACATAACTACTTGGACTACTGGAATTTGTCCTGTGAGTTTCCACAGAATTCCATCCTGTTCTCCATACTCTTTCTAATTTAGTAGAAAGTGCTGGGAGAAATTGTCTGAAGATTTGTAGTGAGATGTTATCAGTATGCTGATAACACTCAGATCTGTTTCTCCTTTTCAGCTGAGTCAAGTGAGACAATAGATGCCTATAGATGGCTGTGGCCTGCAAAACAGGCCATAGTTTACTTGCAGTTTTCTCAAATCTGTAACCTGGTTCTAAGAAGCTTCATCTCTTGACAGTCCTTGTTAGTGTAATGTCCAACAATTTCAACTCCAGGATGTGCCAAACTAGTCCAACTGGCTACCTCCCACTGAGCTGTCTACAGATTTGAGGACACTCATTCAGCCAAAACTCACTCCAGTCCCTGAGAGGCACATCCTGACACTGTGGTGGCTTCTTGTGGCAAATGCATAATCTGACTTGGTCACTAGATAAGTGCTCCTGCGCAAATTACTTCCTGTTCTTATCTTCAAAGGCATAAGCATAGAACTGGGATGGCTAACCATGAACTGCTTTTGGAAGTTATCTGAGGTTCTAAAATACTCCCATACAGAGTAATGCTCTGAAGTGTACTCCCAAGAGAATGGAAAATGAAATTGACCAAGGTTTTCAACAGCTAAAAAAGGGTTTGGTCAGCTTCATTTTTTTAACATTCTGGGAAGACCACTTACCGTATTAGCTTGAAAAAATGTAACATGAAATTTGATAGATTGCTGAATGGAGGTTCCATAGATCAGGGTCTGATCTGTTGAGAAGTCCAAAAAGGAGGAAAGCCTGGTTTAGTGACAAAATCTGATTACACTGGATTTCAAGATCACCATTTGTGTCAGTCACATGCAGTCTACAGCCAGACAAGATCACCCCATTGGTAAGTGTGCCTATACCCCTGCAGCCGTGTGTGAATATGCTTTTTGATAATTTGCTCTATTGTTTTTTGTGGACTTTGGCAGTTATTTAAGAAATCAGCACAGTAAAAGCTTTGCTATCCAGCACTTGATTATCCAGAATGCTCAGTTAACCAGCATTGCCTAGCTGGCAAGCTCCTCCCCCTCAGCCACCACAACCCTACATCCTTGGGTGCATATGTTCTCCATTCCTGCCTCTCCAGGTAGCCAGACTAATGCCTCCTGCTGTTGCCGGGCTTCTGATAGCTGTTGCTGCCAACTGATGTTATTCTTGGGCGCATCCTTCTTCCTTGGCCTGCCTCAGGCTGTCGGGAGCCCGTTCTGCTGGAGCATCCCTTGGCAGCTGAACTGCTTGTCTTCCTGCTGTATAGGAAGATTCCAGGGCTCAGGTAGAAGGGGAAGCATCCTGCCAGGCACGGGGGCAGTTGCCATGGTGTTCTCAGTAGGGTGGGGTTCTCTTATTGTGGATTCTTCTGAGTAAGGGGGTGAGGCACAGCAATGAGTTTGAGTATCCAGGACATTTGAGTAACCAGCAACGCCCATTCTGAATAAGTCGCAGATACCAGTGCTTTTACTGTAATCGCCTACATGGTAAATGAGACTTGGTTGTAATTTTCAGGCAAGTGCCATGAGTTTAATTTATTTCTTTACTGTCTTTGAAACCGGAGTCATAAACAGCAAATGAGTTTAATGAATTTGGACTGTTCTCATGCAATAGTCCTTCGGTAGTTTCTCAGGATATGTCTGTCATTTGTAATTTTGGTTGCCCTTGGCTCTTCCTTGGAGCCTACATCAAACTCGCCCATTGACATTATACAACATTCTACTAACCAAGTAGTTTGTAATCATGCTTTGAGATCCCTGTGACAAGCATCCCTTTTCTAAAGTTTTCTGAATTAACCCTGGCCAATATTTTTTTCCCTTCTCCCATTTTTCCCCCTGCAGGAGTAACTACTGTACTAACAATGACAACTTTAAGCATCAGTGCTCGAAATTCCCTGCCCAAAGTTGCCTATGCCACAGCCATGGACTGGTTCATCGCTGTTTGTTATGCATTTGTATTCTCTGCCTTGATAGAGTTTGCCACTGTAAATTACTTCACAAAAAGAGGATGGGCCTGGGATGGAAAAAGTGTAGTCAACGATAAGGTGAGTGATAATGGAACGTGTTTAAAGTTCCTTCCAATTCTAAGAAATCAATTTAGCGGCATCTACTTTTGATAGCTTTCTATTACTGAAAAATAATTGAAGTCTTAAACCAATATAAAGACAGAGTAGATTAAAGCAAGAGCGGATGGGAAGCGAAGTTGACAGTTTGGGCACACACTTCAGTAGAAATTAAATTGTACATATGGAGTCTTTCTCCAGCTGTCTCTTCCCAAGGAAACAAATATTGTTCCAGGGCTTCCCACAGATTAAACAAGAGCCCATCTATACCTGTTAAGCATCCAAAATAATCTTAGGCAGCATTTCATCATCCTCAGCAGTTCTTTGTGTGAAAATGAATGAAGGTAAAGCCACTTCCCAATGAACAATCATTCATCAGGCTTAATGGAACCCAGTGTCTCATATTACACTCCCCCATTACACTGGCATTGATAGCTCAAGCTATCATACAATCCCATACCTGGTTTTGGTGCCCAGGGTGAATGTCAGGCAGCTAGGTGAATAACAGGAAGAAAGTCACCTTATTCTTTCCTTGCAAAGCACTGCAAAGCTGTTCTGAATCTCACTTCAGAGCCCAGCTCTGGAACTTTCCTTCTGGAGCTTTCCACTTGAAACATATGTTTTCAGTAGAAGAATACAAACTAGTACATGGACAATTATATGGTTATTGTAAAAATGTTATCCTTCCCTTCCTTCAAAGAGGTTGGACAATGTACATGGAACAATCCAGTTTTCCTCACTGTATGATGGGGGGGGGGCAGAGAAGCCTGTACTAAGAAATCATATCCTTGCTATAGTCTAATGTTAAGTGCAAATCTAACTAACAGTGGCCCCTGCCACACGGCAGGGAAAAGACGGGGCCGCTCCGTTGCTCCCCGGCACGATCAGATGCCGGGGAGGATGACACTAGTCGGAGGGGGAGGCTGCCGTACTGCGCATGCTCGAGCAAGACGCGCCGCCAACCCATGGCCAGGATGAAGTGCCTCAACCGGATGAACCACTGAAGTAGGTGGTTCATCTTTGACGCGCTTCATCGGGGGAAGGGCCGGGTTGGAGGCGGGAGCGCGACGCCAGGCAGATGTTGCCATGGGATCGTGCCCGTCTGATGCGCCTCCAATCCGGCCCGCTCCCGCCCAAACTGCCTCGTATGAACGGGGCCAGTGTCTTACAAAGAGCCAACATGGTGTAGTAGTTAAGAGTGCTGGATAACCAGATATAAATATCCAGATAATTTAAATATATATATATGTTGCCTTGATTTGTCAGGGACACCTTTTAAGTTGCTTTTTTAATCATTTACAGTGCAGTCCTCAGAACAGTTTCCTGGGAGTAAGCGCCACTGAATAGACCTGATTAGGATTTTGTGTAGACCTGCTTAGGATGGCAGTAGCGTACTGAATGTTAGCATTTTAATGGTTCTCCTTCCCTTAGAACCAAGAAATACAATCAAGAGAATCACGTGGGAGGAAACTGCACCCTGCACGTTTTGTATTAGAAAGTCAACTCTCCCCTTCTACAAACAAAGAAAAGTAGCAAGCCAGAAACAAGGCTCTGCTTGAACTCTTGTCCAAAGTGCTTGGTCTAGCAAGAGCTGAACCAGATGATTCTATAGCTTGGGATCACATGTTTGGGTCTTTTGCTTCTAATGCAGTAGGTTTGATCCCATGGTTGTGCCAATGGAAAGGGCTCCAGAATTTTCTTCACCTTCCCAAAGCGGCCCTCAGGGTATTTCTTTAGAACATTTGTATGCTGCCTTTCCAGAGACCTGCTGGAGGCAGATCACAAATAAATGGTACAATAAGATCAGGAAAGCAACAGTACATGGAAGCAAGCCATACACAAGGCCTAGGAGGCTGCAGTGAAGAGGAGAAGAACCTGCAGACCCTGCGACCTCCCCCAGTTGCTTTTTGTCCATGGGGACCTACAACCACTGGCAGTGCTTTTTAGGGGGTAAACGCTGAAGTCTGCTGGTAACCAGACAACTAGGAATACCACTTTATTCCATAAGTTGGGGGATATGTCTAACGTGAAACAGGATGAATGCAGATTCTGAATCAGTCACCTAAATCCTAGTATGCTAGTAGTGGTGCTGATAATCTAAGGAAAAAATTGATTGCAAGCATATTCAGTATCCATGGATTACAAATGGTGGAAGCAGATAGGGTAGATGGGCATTTGGAAAGGTCTACTCGTTTACTGCTCCAAGGTTGACAGTAGGAAGGTATTTGTTAATTTTCCAGTTAATACACTTCCTCTGCTAGGCATTGCCTTCCTACCTGGGTCTTCCTCTTTCAGGATAAGCCACCAGTTCAGCATGGTCTTTCAGGGAAAGGTTCTGAAACTCTCTAAGTCTGGACAAGGTATGTTACTGACTGTGCAGCCAGATTCATGACAATTGCAATGAATTGCAACTCCCCTCTTTTCCATAAAATAGCCTCAAAAGCCAGGTAGAAAATCCCACTCCCAGGTTCCTCAAAGATCCTAAAAGTGTGCCTAGTTTTGGGGAGGTTTTTTTTTTTTATCTTTCCTGGGCTTTATTAGCCATTTGCCAGCAAGCCCATGGGTTGTGTCCATTCTTCTCTTATGTGGATGCTTGGTTGATGCCAAAAAATTTGGAGCCATTGATTTCATGGTTTTATGGCTTGCTCCAAATAGCCTTTTTCTTGCACATATGCACCAAAAGTGCATGAAATATTGCTACTATTTGATTAAAACGATGAAGTATTACATTGATGGAACCTACCTGGGATACAAAATAACTAGACCTCTAGGGCCATCAACCTGCTGCTTCAATTTTTTTTTTCTGCTTAAAGGATGTGGGGCTCTTTTGAAAAGCTCGATAAATTCTTTCACGTACACAGGAGACCCTGAAGCCAAAAGTGCACCAGTACAGAACTCGATGTTACCCCTTTAGATCTAGGGAAAATGTTATGTTTAGGTAAGATTTAAATATTGGGATTCACTGACCATCTTCAGCTGCAGTGCTGTCAAAGGCAGTTCATATGGCAGATGCACAGTTAAGCTGTTTTAAGTGGCTTATGAACAGGGCTATCAAAGAGAGGGGGAAATCGCCAAAGCTTATATTTATACATTAATCCTTAAGACATGCAAAGCTGTGATGCTGCAGGAAATGGTTTGTGCTAACTTTGCCGCATAAAGCAATCCTGTACAATAAGTAATGTGGAAGCAAATTCATCCCTGTAGACTGCTCATCAGTTGCGAATGCCTGTAGAAGACAGCTACAAAGGATCAGTTGGGTGAATTTGTACATGATGACCTGAATGTCTATGGGGTCCAACAATGACCTGAATGTCCATAGGCTGGCTTGTTAATCAGGCATTCCCAGGCATCCCTGTATCCTGGTTTTGCCATGTTACATTTCAGTCACCTTCTCAGCCAGGTAAAGGCTCTGCACAGCATCACTAAACTTTATTAGGTTGTGGTGATGGTAGGTGCAATATCACCCATTCATGATTGTTATGTCACAACCCTTTCCCCTTATTGGTGATTAGTGATTCATGAGGATCAGACTATTAAATATCTTTTAGAAAAATGATTATTACTTTAGAGTTGCAGTGAAAATTGCACATTTCGGGTTCAGCTTTTGCTGCTCCAGTGCCGTGTTTTCCATACCTGTTCCTCCATTTCTCCTTTTTGAAATCGTCCCATGAGAAGTCTAACCCAGTGATCTTGTAAGCAGTGTGATGGTGTAATGCTGATCAAGAAAAGATGACACACGTCCAACTTCAATGATAAATTTACAACCAATCATATTTGCCTGTGTCACTGTAGGGGAACGTTGTCCAATAAACCGGACGGATGGACTCCCATTCTAGCTATGTCTGAAGAAGTGAACAGTGACTCACAAAAGCTCTTCCCCTGCCACATATTTTGTTCATCTTTAAGGTGCTACTGGACTTTTGCTCTTTTCTACTACTGTAGGGGAAATTAGGCTGAGGACAAATGAAGATAAACAAATATAAAAACATTTTAACAGATAAGAACAGATACTACACTTGATTTTAGCCAAAAGGCTTTTTGCAAGGAGCCCCAGAACCAGGGGTGCACGTTTCGGTGTCGCCACCAATGACAGCAGATACCAGCAAGTTATTTCAACTTGGTCTTAGTGTACTTGCATTTGTTTAGATTTGTTTTATGTATTTCATTTATTTCGTTTAAAAGATTTTTATCCGAAGTTTCAACCTAATCAGGGCAACCCAGGCAGCTAACTGAAAACAGAGCAGTATAACAATTGCGCAGTCAGTCAGTAAAGGGTTAAATTGAAAATCCAAAATCATCCTGTAAGGCCCCAAAGACTTTTTAAAAATTATGATAGAAGCCAGTTATACTGAATCTTGGGATTTTAAATTGTGCATAGGGAGATAGGTAATTTTGTATGCAAGTGTCGCTCAAGGTGGGCGACCGTGTTGGTCTGAAGCAATAGAACAAAGTTAAGTGTCCAGTGGCACCTTTAAGACTGATGAAGTTTTATTCAGGCATTGGGGGGGAAATCTGATGAAATGTGGTTGCACACAAAAGCTCACGCCTTGAATAAAACTTTGTTGGTCTTAAGGGTGTCACTGAAGTCTAAATTTATATGCGTGTGTTATGTAGGTTTGCATATATTCATACCACACTGGCTATACAGACAAACATGTAACAAACTATCCTCAGAGTTCACCTTCAAGTTGTGTGGGTGCATGTATTAAAATCTGAACTCTCCTGATCTCAAGTTTTTCATTAGTGTATGGAACATGTATCATTCTCACTTCACTGAAGTTAGAAGAAGAAGAGATTGGATTTATACTCTGCCCTTCACTACCCAAAGGTGTCTCAGAGTGGCTTACAAACTCCTTTCCCTTCCCCTCCCCACAACAGACACCCTGTGAGGTAGGTGGGGCTGAGAGAGCTCTGGACAGAAACTGCTCTTTTTCAAGAACAGCTCTTATCAGAACTACGGCTTGCCCAAGGTCATCCGGCCAGGTGCAAGTGGAGGAGTGGGGAATCAAACCCGGCTCTCCCAGATTAGAGTCTGCACACTCAACCATTACACCAAACGATCAGTCTCTTGACTGCTGAGCACTGCACTCCTGTGGTCCACATGGCTGTTGCTAAGCCTTCCAGATTCTCCCTCCTTCTCTGTCTCTTCACTACTATACCATGGAACAAAAATAATATGTATCTGTGGGATCTGTTAATAAGATGACTCAGGCATGCTATTTTCCCCATTTCTAGAGGCTGCTGAATTCTAAAATGTCGCAAAGCACAAATATAAGATGTGTTCGGTCCAGTCTGGTATTTTCTTACAAGCAATCCAGTTGCAGTGTTTGCTTGCACTTTTCATTGGATCATAAATGAAAATATACTTGCATTAAGAGCTATTTCACATGTGACTAGATGAAGAAAGTACAAGCATAAATCTGTGAGGATTTGCTGGGTGCATTTCCCCGTCTCCCACTATTTCTTCTTTCTCTTCCTTGAAAGCCCCCACAGCCTCTCTCCCTTTCCTGCCCCCTCCTCTCTTTTCCATCCACCAGCCAACCTACCTTTATCTCCTCCCCATCTTCAGTTTTCTGTCCTTCCCTACCTGGCACCCTCTGCCCAGGAAAACTATGCCCCACTTGCCTGGTTCCAGTTGCACAGTGGGAGATCTGCAAGGACTTGCAGGGGGCACTCCATCTTCCCTAGTGTCACCTTCCCAACACTATTTCCTCTTTTCCTCCTCCAGGCAACCCCAATGTCTTTAGCTGTCTCTTTGCAGCTGGATGGCCTGCACTTGCACAAAACACACTCTTCTTGTTGTTTGTTTTTAAAGCTTTTCAGATTTCTCTGCAACCCTAAGGGATCCCCCAAGTCTGTCGAAAAATCTGCCTTCCATAGTGTGGTCCTGATCTGTGAATTTAAGTATCTGCAGATGAGGGCACACTTGACTGTAAAATATGTGATGGTACTGTTGTGTCATTGCAAAGCTATCCTATTCACAGCTGTTATTATTATTATTGACAGCTGCTTGCAGCAGAATAGATGTGTTCACATGTACTTCTGAAGTGTGTGCTGAACCCTTTAGCATGGATAACATGAATTAAAATCAGTGATCTTAAGTATACTTAACGCTGAGCTGTATTGTGACCGTTGCATTTAGATAGGATTAGGAAATGGCCATTCCTGTTGTATTTAAATTTTGTTTTAAGCAACCCTTTCCCATGAGAATATGTCTAATGTCTTTTATGTGTGCAAAAACTCAGATAGGTTTGTTTGGAGTTCGGTTGGGGGTGAACTTCTGAACTTCACACGTCCATCTCAGTGCCCTGATGGAGCCTTGCCTGAACCACAGATCTTCACTCAGTCCTCTTTTCCTTCTATCATCACATTACACGTTTACTAAGTAATGCTGAAGATGGACAGTGGGTTGGATCCAACCCAGCTTTTCTGTGTGTGGAAAAGAGCCCCCTCCCCCCGACTGCCTGGGTTCTTGGGACTTGTATATACAAAAGTCATATGGGACAGGCAGCAGCTGTAATCAGAAAGAAAATATAGTAACACTGAGTGAAAATGCTGGCTGGATCCAGTCCATTAGTTTAAATAAAGCTGAAGGTTGTGTGATAAACACATTCATTCCGTGGTACACCTACTTTTTTTTGTTGTTGGTCCCAATTGTGATCAAACTGGTTTTGCACGTTGATGGAGTACTACAAAGCTTTGCAAGTAGAAATGATAACAGATTCAGTATTCAACCGTGGGCAACTAATGGGTTGGAGCCCATGGATCTGTTTTGCTGATGGTTGCATCTTTCCTTCACTCCAGGAAAAGGTGCCATCACTTGATGCAAGAAGCTCCATTGCTAGCTTCTTGCATCAGGAGAAGGTGCCCTGTAGTGAAGAACACTGCCACAGTGCCCAACCCAATGTTACTATCATACCTGTTTCAAAACTCTCTCAAAAATTATCCTAACCCTCACTTGACAAATTCACTTATTGGCACTTTTTTGTGCTTTTGAACTATGCCATTCATTAGTTGTACTACTTTGCTGTAGTAATCCTAATTCATTACACATGTCTTATTTGTTAAAGATACGCTGATATATATGTAAAGCTGATTTCTTTTAACTGTGTACCATCTTTTAACAGAAAAAAGAAAAAGCATCCGTCATGAAGAAAAACAATGCCTATGCAGTGGCAGTGGCCAATTACGCACCAAATATCACCAAGGACTCTGTTCTCCCGACAATCTCCAAAAGCGCTACCACTTCGGAGCCAAACAAGGCAAAGCCAGAAGCCAAGCCGCAGGAAGCAAAGAAAACCTTCAACAGCGTTAGTAAAATCGACAGGATGTCAAGAATAGTCTTTCCAGTTTTATTTGGTTCTTTCAACTTAGTGTACTGGGCTACATATCTCAACAGGGAACCTGTCTTACACGGGTTTGAACCAGCGCAATAAGACCTTAATTTTCTGCCGAGAGTGTATAGCATCATTATAATCAGATTTGTTTTCCTTTGTATAGCACGACTAATAACTGCTAATCAGTGAACCAATATGTACAGAATGTATATAGGTACTATGTCCGTGTATCTCCCAAACGAGGTACGCAGAGTTTATTCCTGGGATCTGTAAACAGATAGCACCCATGGCAAATATAGTCTGCTCTCCTATCCATGTGAGTTCTCCTCCTAAAGTGGGAATTAGAATATGCTGAATTATATCCATACAACCATATATGGTCCAATGTGACTATTTAATAACACTATTTTTTTAATTTAAAGTTTAAAATATTTTTCTATAAAAAATGACTGATTCTACTTTAATGCAAAGAAGCTATCATTTAAAAGAGAGGGATTTTTTTAACAAAATAATCTTAATAATTTCTTACGGTAGCAGTGCCCATGTAAATATTATAGACACGTGGTGAACTCAAGTATTCTCTTATTCGCAATCTTTATGAATGCTAGTTAATGTTTAAAAGCTTTTGGAATGTCAGGGTTAGCTCCCCCCCCCTTACTTTTGAATTGAGCTTTGCTGATCAGTAGCGTGGCTGGTGCTTGAGGGTCTTTCTGCCAGTGCAAGAAAACAGATGTCAACGTTAGTCCAGTTGTCAGTGCAGCAGAGCCAACAACTGGCTGCCCTTCTTCTTTTGGTCCATTGTGCAAGTTTCATATGAAAGGACCAGCAAAACGATGGTGGGTGTGGGAAATGAAGGAAACTGGGTGTCATCTGAACCAAGGCTGCCAAACTGCAGTGACAATCAACACTGTCTGTACAAAGTCTCTGTGTTGCACCAAAGTAAAAAAAAAAAAAAACACCATAAAAACACAATCCCCCTTGATGACTGATATTGACTCTCCAAAAATTTCCAGGCCCCCCCAAACATTCTTAAGAACATAAGAACATAAGAGACGCCAATGTTGGATCAGGCTAAAGGCCCATCCAGTCTAACACTCTGTGTCACACAGTGGCCAGAAATACCAGTGCCATCAGGAGGTCCACCAGTGGGGCCTATATAAAATTCCAGTGCCATCAGGAGGTCCACCAGTGGGGGCTATATAAAATTCTTCTGCCTATATAAAATTCCTGATGTGTTTTGGATTATGCAACCCTTTGTCAAGGGTAATAAGTACAAATCATTTGAACAGAAGCTGTGTTGATTAACAATAATGTCACCATGTCTCGTTTACTTGGTGTTTTCCATTGACAGCCTAGTACAAAGCCTCTCAGGTGGCGTTCTAAGGGCTGTTTGTTCAGATTGGTGTAAGCAGACGGTGGTGTTTGTCTGGAGAAGCAGGACAGAGCCCTCTGCATGGGATGTTTCATTTTCATGGCAATGGCATAAAATCAGAAGAATTTCTTTCCAAATGACCATTTGGGATCAGGGTGTAAATAGTAGGAGTGAAGTCAATGTTTTAATTCATTGATACACAGTAAGAAAACCCTCCTCTTCAAGTATTATAAATTTTGATTTTTTTTCAAACAGGCAGTCTCCAGACTGGCTTATGCATGGATGTACATCTCTATACCTGATTACTGTGCACTGGATGACTTGCAGGGGAATGTATGAACCAATTCACTGGGAAGTATTGCTTTGTTGAGGTGATATGAGGAATGATCATTCTGTGCTGTTATACCTGTGATGGGTCATTTATACACACAGGGCATTCAAAGGATGAACAAGTTCACTAGAGCTGATGAAGAAAGTGTAACTTTCAGATCTGTGGTGATTTGTATTAAATACTAGATACAGAGGTGTCCATGTTGTATGAATGGCTCATGTGGACGATTTGCTTCTCAAAAGCAGCATTCCAGATGTTTGATTATGTGGTTGCAAGCTAATCTCAGAACAAAACGCCATTCATAAGACAATTTCCAATATATATCCATCTTGTGAACCCTTTTAACAAGGAAGTGTCCAGAACAAATGTTCAAATATTATTCAGAGTTCAGTATACTGGAAATATAAGAATTCCTGATTCACATTTTCCAGTTTACATTTTCAGAGAAATCTGCCTTAAATTTAAAGAAAAAGGCTTCCTTCGTACCATTTCTATCTCCACAGAAGCCACTGAAACAGTGTTTTGTGATTTCAGTTTCATGAGGGCATCCTCATGCCTTTAATTATTATTGCTGCTTTTGTAAATTGCAATTTTACATTTTGCTGGCATAAATTTACAACAACTTTATATATTAGAAATGATTTTGCTAAGAGGTGAAGGTTATTTTTTAAAAAAAACAAAGCTTCAGTGCATCATCGGTACTTAAAAACAAATGGAAACAAAAATGGAGCTGCTATTTGAAATTTTTTGTATGACATTTAATACTGATTAACTGTCTCTCCTGGAACCTTTGCAAAAGTTCCTTATGCCCCCTAAAGGCCCTGTAAATCATATCACCAACATTGTATACTCTATTTAGGTTTTAATAATGTACTTGTCCAATCAAAAGTATTTTGATTCACATACATATTAGCAGTTATTAGTTGACCTTTTTAAGAACAACCGTTATACCTTTACAATGGTGTCTTTATAGTAGAAACCAGTGTAGTCATAGAGTGTCATTTATTGCAGTTTTGTACAGTACTTGAGTATAGTGCATAAACTAGATATTGCAAAAGTTTAACAACACTGTATAAATATTTCTAAAACCAATTTTAAAATTACTTTAAGCCGTGGAAACAAAACACCATGCACAACAATCAAAACAATATTTTTCATTTGCTGTTTTAATTTTTTCCTGTATTTTCTTCGTTTTTGTCCAGTGTGATTTTCTGGGTTTTTTTGCTTTGCATGAGAAATATTGAGAGCGAGGTCACAAATTATTGGTTATACAACAGTTCTTCTGATGTTAAATCCAATACGGTATTTCCTATAATGGGGAAGGGTTGAAAGGATTTGAACCATTACGTACCATCCCCCTTGGTGTATTCCTTTAACCCCCTTGAATAAATTCCACCCATTTTCATCAAGGATAGCTGAAAAAAATGAGCACTTTATTTGAAACATTAATATAGAAAATCCTTATTTTCATACCTATTTATATATAAATGTAGATCTTCTGTGTAATACAGAACTGTGATAAAGTTGTATAAGGCTGGAAGGTGAGCAATAAAAAGAGAAATTCATGGTATAGATAAACACATCTAAAAATGTTGTATTTGTAAATTTAAAAAATTGCCCATTTAATGCTACACTGTCCAGGTACAAATAAATATATAAATATGTACATTTGTAAAGCATTTGTAAATATAGATAATGTAGAAATTTTCTGCAGTATTATCTTCCCTTTTTTGCAAAGGGCTCTGACCAAACTAATTTTTACAGAGGGCCCATCTCACTGGCACTGTCTTGTCCTTTTTAAGTGTTACATTCTCAAACTGGTATTAGTAGGAATGCCAGCCTCCAGGTGGGACCTGGGGATCTTCTGGAATTACAGTTCATCTCCAGATAAAAGAGATCAGTTCCTACGGAGAACATGGATGCTTAGGAGGGTGGACTCCATGGTACTGTACCCCACCAAGGTGCCTGTCATCTCCAGGCTCCACCCCCAGATCTCCAGGAATTTTCCAACCTGGAGCTGGCAACCATACTCCCCTATGCCCCCCACCTGTTGCTGGGGGGACCTGGCAACACCTAGGTATTAGTCTAGTATGCAGGGGCACCCGAGCATTCTCTTCGTAGGGAGAAAACTGAATTAACTAGAGATGTACCACATTTGGGGAGTGACACAATTTCTCCTTAGCTACCCACTTTAAAGACCCTCACACTTTCCCCAAGACATATCAGGTGGTTAAGGAGATATGTGCAAATGATGTGATAATAACCTAGTTCATAACAGGCCTGAGAGTCAGAGACAAAGAGTGAGCTATGAGATCTCCTGGGAATGTAACACTTAAATACTACTTGGAGTGGGCTGTGTGCTGCTAGGCTCTTTAGCACAAACTGCTGTGCGTCCTCATTAATTTCCACGGGAGCTGATAGCTCTCAGCACTGCAAAATATTAAATAAAAAGGAGGACTGTATTTTACATTGTCAGGTTTGGATCCAGCCAAGAGGCAGTAGAAGGCCCTGTCAGAAGAGGGGGGAAATGCCATTTGAACCCTTTCTCCCTCTTCACAGTTGTTTGTCCGTGCAGATCCTGTTGCTCTAGGAATAATCTATCGGGGTCTAACGGGACTGCTGGGAGAAGGGGATCATGGGAAAAATCTGCAGCCATGTCAGTACAGGGTTGGCTGCATCCAAGTCTTAAGTGTTTCCTCAGAATTTTTATGTGATCTAGGGAGACAGTTGATAACGGTTCTCCTTGAAGCAACATATATCAGAATTTTGTTTCTAGAAATGGGTGTGGAAGGTGAGGTGTCCTCAGGGCTATTTTCGGGCAGGAACGCAAAGGAACAGAGTTCCGAGTGGCTTCAGAGTTGGTCACGCCCACTACAGCCAAAACCTCTGCGTGCGTGGCTACAGAGGGAAGGCCTGGAGAGCGATCCCCCCTGGCGACTCCAAGGCAGGCGGGCCAGGGGGGCCCTGGAAGGATTGGGGAGGCATTTAAATGCCTTCCCATGCCTTCCCCGACCTGTCCAAGGGCCAGCTTGCCCGCGGGGCACCCAGGCAAGCCAAAGGAAGACATGGGGTGTGGCCTAATATGCTAAGGAGCTGTGCTGTCAGGGTGTGGCCTGATATGCTAATGGATTTCTGGTGTTGGGTGTGGCCTGATATGCTAATGAGTTCCTGCTGGGCTTTTTCTACAAAAAAAGCCCTGGGTGTCCTAATACCTATATTTGGTTGTGCAATATAGGGCACATGATCTTACAGTCACTGTCCTTATAAAGAAGATATAATTTGTACAATCAAGCTTCTGTTCTTCCTTGGGATCAGTGTAACATCATAACGTAATTTCTGCACGTGGATAGCTGTGTTTTGTAAACTCTTCTTGCACAAAGAACCTAATCCTGGCCC